TGCCATTCAGCATTGGGCAAAAAAAAAAAGGCATAGCCAGACATTTGCCGGTGCGGGTGGCGGGTGGCCCCACCTTGGCGCATCCACCGAAAGCCATCAGGTACTCCCGAGTCAGCGCGGCTGCGGGCAACGGCACGCAAGGCCGCTCGTTTCCACCGAGCCGCTTGTCATGCTCCTCCTCCCCGGTCACTGAGGTCACCCCAACAGGGACGCGCCGCCCTCGAGGAAGCCGAAGCCGGCCCCGGGACGTCGTGCTCGATAGACGCCGAAGCCGGCCTTTCGTGACCAAAGCCGAGCAGGCTCCCGACAGGAGGCGTTTGCGCGTTTCCGATGCGGCGGCGCCTCCTGGCATCGCGGGCCATCAAAATGACAAGGGCGCACATTTTTCACGCCGGAATCGGGCGTCGGCGGCCACGTGCACAGCAAAATTCATCACACCCGGAGAACATCTCGAGTTTCCGCGTTTATTAAAAAGCTAATAGAAAAGGCAAAACAATCAAAAGGCTTTCAATCGCGTCACACACCCGCGAGGAAGCCCAAATATGGTCGCACGCCGGCAGGAGGGTCCTCATCGGATGAAAACGTCAAAGTCAAAAATCCAGAGCAAGACGAGCAATTCGACAAATGGTCCAAAGTGCAAAAAAAAAATCCAAAAGACGATGTCGGCCGGCGACCGCCAAACGGGCCTTTCACGCCGCCATCTTCAGTCGCCCTGCAGAGAACAAGCGGCAGGTCGGATGACAGGCGACATCTTTCGTCCGTGCGCGTCAACAAACATGCTGTGGGGGGGAGAGAACAGTGAGAGGGAGGGGAGGGGCTTCCACCAAGCGGCGTTTCGCAACATCACTTGTCCACCGCCCCCCGTTTCCTTCTGCAACCAACCAATGGCAGGACAATGCGAGGAGACGCGCGCCGCCCGCCACCGTTGGGGCAAAAGCTGCCAACTTGTCCCGCGCACGTTCAGATCGACGGCTGCCATTGCTGCAGTTGCACGGCCAATCGGTGGCGGCCGACGTTCGGCGGGGGGGGGGCTTACGCCATTGGTTCCATCCAATCACAACTTTCTTTCGCAGATTTGTCAATCCGGCGACACGCCTTCGGGGGTCTGCTTACGCCTTTGCTTTTGGCGTCCCCGGGGCGGGAGGGCATTTTCCGCAAGGCGACGAACGAGCAAAAGCGCAAACGTACCCGTGGAAAGTTGCGAGTTGGATTTCCGTCGAGAGGCGCCGGGCGTTCTCGAGGCAGAGTTTAGGGAGGAGCCGGCGCTGCTGCTGCGAGATAAGGGGAGGGGCCCCGGGGTCAGGGGGGGCGAGTCCATCTGCGCAGACAAGCAAAGTCACCACATGCGCGCACGCCCCAAAGTCATGCGTTCAAGCCCCGCGCTCATATCCAAGCCAAAGCGAACCCTCTTCAAAGCCAGAGGAAGAAAAGGCGCAAAGAAGGTGGGGGGGGGGGCTTTTCAAGACGCTTTGAGTTTGGCCCGAATGGCGCACGGGGGCGACGTGAGACAAGCGAGGCCACCTCGAGGCTTTGGGGCGTGGGCGAGGACGAAGCCGAGCGGCTGTCCGGCCGCTTGGAGGCGTTGAGCTCCACGCTGCGAACGCGCTGGGCGAACTTCAGCGAGCACAGCGACTCGCCGGCGTCGGCCGCGACCGGAGACACCTAAAGCGAAGGGCGGGAAAAACGGTGAGACGGCGGCGGGCGGGCGGAGAACCGGCCGGCCGGCATCTTGTCGGACCTGCACCATCATGAGCGTCTTGCTGTCCCCCTGCAAGCTGTCCTGCAGCAGAAAGGTGAGCCGCGAGTTCCTGAAGGGGACGTGGGGGCGCTTGCGGCGCAGCGCGTCCATCACGTCGCCCAGCGCCGACAGAGACTTGTTGATGTGGCGAGCCTCGCGCAGGCGCCCGCCCTCGGCGCCCGATCGGCCCACCCGCTCCGAGCCGGCGAGGTCCACCAGGTTCAGCTTACCTGACGGGGGCGGGGCAAAAGCGGCGTCAAGCGGCGGCGTCAAGCGGCGGCGTCGCGTCAA